ATGGAATATATGAAAAGATCGCAGTCTAGCAAAAGTAGACGCAGTAGGAGCAATTATTCCGTTGGTAAATGAATGGCGATATAAACATAGATTAAATTTCAATCATATTAATTGAAAATAATCGATTTTTAATTATTTATTTTGATGGAAGCAACTGATTATATTTAAACGACTTATGTAAATGAATATTGATATGTAAATGAGAGAATCAAGTTTTTAGAATAAAAATAATGATATTCGATATATATATATAAAGTATAAAATGTTTGCAATTTATATTTATATATCTAATTTAACTTATATTAAATATATTTCTAATTATCGAGCATATCCAAATTATCCAAAATTGTTACATTGTACTTGCAAATATTCAGATTAATGAAATAATAAGCTAATCAATAATGCGTGCGCATATTTTTTGATTAAATTAATCTTTTTCTAGCGCGTTCTTATAAACGGGGACCGCCGCCGTCGCCTAGAATTATGTCACCGATGGGATTTGCCGTTCATCGACAGGTTTATGCCGATGATATTGATTTTGACTACGATTACTATTCTGGTATGGATGATCAGGAAAGACAACCAACCAAGCCCGTGCCTATTTGGCTGTGTGTCTTTCTGGTCGTCAGTTATATACTTGGCGGCGCTTACCTCTTCAATCGGTGGGAAGGTTGGCCGTTCCTTGAGTCGGCTTACTTTTGTTTCATCACGTTGACCACTATCGGTTTGTTTTCCAATAATTAATAATTCCTTTTTCGCTGTTTACCAAAAGATATGAAAGATATGCCACTAATTATTATTTTCTAAAATTCATTCCGTTAAAACTAGCGATATAGCAATCTTATTAAAATAATATATATTCATTCGTAACATTCCACAGAAAACATACAGTAGACACATAATATCTGTATGTCTTTTGAAGGTCTTAGAGGCTTTACTTCTATTTTTATCTCTATTTATTAATTAATCTTGCATTTATTTTGAACGCTATGACATGAAACTGGCACAATTTCCTATCTTTTCTATTTTAAGGTTTTGGCGACTTTGTGCCGACATTGGATGCGCACGAGGGCATCGCCCTTTGTTCTCTCTACCTGCTATTTGGAATTGCCTTGCTGGCAATGAGCTTTAATCTGGTGCAAGAGGAAGTCATCAACAACGTGAAGAGCGTCGCGAAGAGGCTAGGTATCATCAAAGAGAGCGACGATGAGGAGAAAGAGGAGGAAGAAGCCGAAGACTATGACGAATACGATGCCGAATACGAAGATGAAGTCTATGAAAACGAGCCCAAGCTCTGATTTCGTGGTTTTTACTATTCAACAAGAAGATCTGGGGCGCGAGTTATCCATCTTCATATACATAGTACAAGATTCAGGGTGTTTCATCTAAATCGATATGTGTCAATTTCGTGATAGATAGATTTGATTTCTCGTGAATCGATAGTTTTCAATTCGAGTAATCTAGCTCTTTTCACGTAAGTCAAGAATAAACACAAATGTATGCAATTAGATTAATTTAAAAACACAATTTATTATTTCAATTATCTTTTTCGATTTATAAATTCAATTATTACAGATCCAATTATTAAAATACTATATATCTAGATATTATTATTACTTATATTAAAATTTTAATTCCTTAGGACTTTCAAAGAGCTTTTAATTTGGAAACTTTTTTAATTTGGAAATGTATTATTTACACAATATTAATAGCGCGATACTGAGAAGTTTATTATTATTACCTTTTATTATATATTAATAAAGTAATCTAACTGTAAATTTGGTAAAAATTATTAAGATGTTTATTTATTTAATGTACATTATTTATAACAATTTCCATTTATTTTTGCATACTTTTTAAATTTTCTTTTGCAAAAATAACGCGACACAAAGATAGTAACAAGCGCAACGTCTCATTTTTAACTCATTCATTTAACTTGCTCAGGAAGCTGTGGAACAGCTAAAAATCTGAGACTGTACATTTCCATAAAATAGTTCTACGTTCCAGCAGTCCCTTAAATTTTCTTCGAATGCACGCGACGCGAGAATACGATTATCTTCCAACGGGTACGATATTTTCGTGCGGCTTACTACCTTCCGCGCACAGAAAATTGTTCTTACAATATTTTCCCGGACGCACTTGCCGCATGCAAAATTCACGCTTGCTATGCAAATCCCTTTCATCCTCTTTGCGACCCATATATATATATATACGTTCTCTTACATTTTCGCTACTATGTCCGCAGTTGCATTTCGTCGTTTAAATCGCGAGGACGTTAATCGTCTCGACGACGGCAATGGCGGTGGCGACAGTATCCAGTTAACGGCTTCGGTTTCAACGACTCGATAATCGCGCGATAAAGTCCACTCAAAGAAGAAATAATAGTCGCTAAGAACTTTCGTTCGCGTCTATTACGAATGAACAATCCTGCCACCGACGAAATCTGCATTTCATAAATTTTAAAGCCGATTGAAATGACATCCCTCTCTCTCTCTCTCTCTCTCTCTCTTTCTCTGTCCTTCTATCTCTTTCGCATTTCCTTAGCGTCATAAAATTATTCTCTATAAAAAAAATTAAATATTTTTGCCTAAATATATACATCAGTGAATGATTGATCATAATGTATTGTTAATTGATCATTTAAATTAAATAAGATATTAAAAATTGACGAGAAAAAAAACTTTTATTCTAAATATGTTTTTGTTAACATTTTGTTGGCTTTTTTAAATGTTAACATTTCAACATTTTGTACACAACTGGATCATCGAAACAGGTTTGTCTATACCGGGTGTCCGACAATTCGACTAGTTGTACAACCAACCAGACCCAGGCGACTTGAACTCAGTTATTTTCGGCGACGCGCTATTTTGGGATAATGCATGTCGTGACGCGGGGTGCCACGGAGAAATCAGTTTACGGAGAAACTTGGTCGAGATGGGTTGTTCTCTGTATGTTTGTGTACCGGCTCGGATTTTATCTCGATTATCGTCAAACATGGATCTTTTCGCAAAAGCGTAGTGCACAATGGGATGTCATCGCTCGAAAATTAATTGCTCGTTGCAACGTGTACGTGTACGCGCGTAATAATGATGTAATGAGAATATCGGTCGGAGGGGGGATGCTGAAATCGAAACAATTAATAGTGCACGTACTGTATTATTTTGAGGAATCGAGGTGCAAGGTTTTCACAAAGAATCATAAATTTTTAAATTAATCGCGATAATATCAATAAAACTTTCGGAAAAATGATTTATAAAAAAAAACGAAAATTGTAAATTAATAAGTAATGCATTTTTCTAACACGTGATAGCGGAATCTTATAATCGTCTATTTAATTGATATGTTAGTATATGCGTATATATGTACATAATTTTCGCAATGAGAATTAAACGCAGAAATCTTGTCACAATTGATATAACGCACGAAAGATATGAAGTAAATGTTGATTCCAAGATTTGATCAAATATAAAAGCTTTGAAAATAAATATTCACTTCAGAATATTCATCACAGAAATGTTTCACTGCTCTAATATTGAGACAATAGTAAAAGAAGAAACAGATTCCAATATTGCATATTAATTTTTACAAATAGATTACAAATTGATGTTAATTCTTTAAAATATTTTATCATTAACATTCTATCTATGATAAGCCATCTTCATAATTCGGGATAGAGTTTGATTCAAACATTAAAATAAAATATTTTGTCAAGTTTATAGAATCATAATAGAAAAATATTTCATATTAATCGTGTGTTAAAACACAGAGACTTGAACAACGTGTAAATCTTGTTTTGTTGATTTATTCTCAGTTTACGAAAATTGTCTAGGAAAATTGAAGAAAATTAAATAAAGTCAGATCCTATATGTCGATGATTTCGAGGAAATGTCCATCATTTTTCATGGAATCATAAACAATTTTACAATAGATTTTGTTAAGCAGCCAAGTGCTCATCTCTACTGCAATTGCAAAGACGTCGTGTTTTTGATTCCCCGTGGACCACGATAGAGTCGATAGCAGATTCCGAGAATCAACTTGCGGAGATAAAAGAGATTTGAAGATCCGACATTTCCTATTAAATTTGCTGAGAGTAATTTTCCATTAGCCTCGGTCAGTGGTCACATATAAGAGTTCGCGATCTTCTTGTAGCTTTGTACGCGCGCTACATTTTTCTATATCAAACCATTGTAGACACACACTTACACACTTACACACACACACACACACACACACACACACGCACGCACGCACGCACGCACACACACAACACACACGCACACGCACACACACATACACGCACGCACCACGCACACGCACACGCACACGCGCGCGCGCACACACGCACACACACACGCGCGCGCGCGCGCGTGTATGTATATATA